ACCGTAATGACACCGGTCGACCAACCCCGCCAAGTCAGCGTCCGTATATACCGTGTGTCATCTGCTGAACGCCTTGTCATCGACGAACAAGTGGACGACATGTTGAAACGTGGCATCATCGAGCCCTCCAACAGTCCCTGGGCTTCACCGGTTGTTCTCGTCAAGAAAAAAGACGGATCTATCTGGTTCTGCATTGACTACCGCCGACTCAACAAGATAACGCGCAAAAACGTATACCCTCTGCCGCGCATCGATGATGCTTTGGACTGCCTAAAAGGAGCAGAGTTCTTTTCTTCGTTAGATTTATGCTCCAGCTACTGGCAGGTGCCCATGGCAGAGGGTTACCACCCAAAGACAGCCTTTGTAACACCAGATGGACTATATGAATTCACCGTTATGCCCTTTGGCCTCTGCAATGCGCCTGCCACTTTCGAAAGGATGGTGGATACCATCTTGCGAGGTCTGAAATGGAAAACGTGCCTCTGTTATTTGGACGACATTGTGGTTTTTTCAAGCGACTTTCCGACCCACCTCAGCCGCCTCGAGCAAGTTCTTACGTGCCTTTCCACGGCGAGACTTCAACTTAACTTGAAAAAATGCCACTTCAGCGCTCGCAATCTTGTAATTCTCGGCCATGTGGTTTCTAAGGACGGCATTCTCCCGGACCCTACGAAACTTAATGCAGTCGCGGTGTTCCCAAAGCCAACCACCATCAAAGAGCTTCGAAGCTTCATCGGCCTATGTTCTTACTTCCGGCGCTTCGTCCGCAATTTCGCCTCCATTATCGCCCCTGGACCAATCTTCTTGCTGGAAGTTCTGATTTGTCAGTGTGGTTGCAGGCGTGTGATGATGCATTTCAGGAACTCCGACAGCTCCTCACCATGCCTCCTATACTCCGACATTTCGATCCGTCTGCTCCAACGGAGCTTCATACGGACGCTAGTGGTGTCGGGCTAGGGGCCATACTGGCCCAACGCAAGGATGGCTTTGACGAGTACGTCGTTGCCTATGCCGGCCGCACCCTCAGTAAAGCCGAGAAGAATTACAGTGTAACTGAAAAGGAGTGCCTCACCATTATTTGGGCAATCGGACAATTTTGGCCTTATTTATATGGACGTCCGTTTGAAATTGTAACAGACCACCATGCGCTTTGCTGGTTATCTTCACTAAAAGATCCTAATGGTCGGCTCGCTCGTTGGGCATTGCGGTTACAGGAGTTCGATATCCGTGTTATCTACTGTTCTGGCCGGAAGCATTCCGACGCCGATGCCCTGTTACGTTCGCCATTGGCTTCAGAGCCTGTCGGCTATGCCTATCTCCACCAGTGCTGCCTTGGCCATCAGCATTTCGGACATGCCTTCCGAGCAACGCAAAGATGCTTGGATTTCTTCTCTTTTGGACTTTCTCTCAAACCGGACGCCCGCTCCAGTTTCCAGGACGCTTCGCCGTCAAGCAGGACACTTAGCTATTCGGGATAACCTGCTTTACCGCCGAAACTACAGCTCGATCGGCCGTAAGTGGTTGCTCGCCATTCCCCGACATCTGCGCTCTGACATCTGTGCCACGTTCCACGATGATCCGCAATGTGGCCACGCTGGTGTGTTAAAAACATACACTCGTTTGCAGCTGCGGTACTACTGGCGTGGTATCGTTCGCCGTTACGTAAGGTCTTGTCTTACGTGCCAGCGACGCAAAATGCCCACTCAGCATGCCAAAAGTCCCTTGCAGCCGTCGCCATGTCCAGCACGAGCTTTCGATCGTGTCGGAATCGACCTTTACGGCCCGCTTCCCTATACTTCGAGTAGCAACCGCTGGGTCATTGTCGCTATCGACCACCTAACGCGGTACGCTGAAACAGCTGCGTTACCTTCTGCTACCGCAAAAGACGTTGCATGTTTTATACGGCAAAACCTGGTTTTAAGGCATGGAGCACCTCGGGAGTTACTAAGCGACCGCGGCCGCGTTTTTCTCTCGGATGTCATCAAAGCATTGTTGAGCGAGTGTCGCATCATACACCGCACTACCACAGCCTATCACCCGCAAACTAATGGGATGACAGAGCGTTTTAATCGTACACTTGGGGATATGCTGGCCAAGTACGCTTCATCCGACCAGTCAAATTGGGATGGCATACTGCCGTTTTATGACATATGCTTGCAACACTGCAACGCAAAGCACCACTGGATTTTCGCTTTTTTTTTTCTTTATGGACGCGAGCCATCATCAACAATGGATACCATTCTTCCTTATCGACCGGATCTTTCAGAGATGACTACCGTTTCTCGAGCAGCAGCACACGCTGAAGAATGTCGGAAGCTTGCTCGTGCGTTCACGTCACACGACCAGACGGGTCAAAAACATCGCCACGATGCGTCAACCACGCCTATGAGCTTTGCTGTGAACTCACAGGTGTGGTTATGGATTCCTTCTACTACTCCAGGACTCTCCCACATGCTTTCGTCCAGGTACTATGACCCTTATCGAGTTGTACGTCAAACATCCCCTGTCAACTACCTTGTCGAGCCGCTGGATGCATCTCCGGACAAGCGCCGTCGGGGACAAGAAATCGTACACATCTCTCGGCTCAAGCCATACCATGGCCCTTCTGTGTACACCTGTCCTTAGGTCGCCTGGATGGCTCCCTCATCGCCCGGGGGTGATTGTAACGAGGGCAGTGGGCATGGAGCTCGAGTATTGAAAAGGAAGACTTGCCGTGATCGCAGGCTTCAGTTCAGTTAGCCCTTGCGCTAAATAAAGCTCTCGTTCACCGAGTCAACACCCGCTTGTTCAACAACCCGTTCCAGATAGATAGATAGATAGATAGATAGATAGATAGATAGATAGATAGATAGATAGATAGATAGATAGATAGATAGATAGATAGATAGATAGATAGATAGATAGATAGATAGATAGATAGATAGATAGATAGATAGATAGATAGATAGATAGATAGATAGATAGATAGATAGATGGATGGATGGATGGATGGATGGATGGATGGATGGATGGATGGATGGATGGATGGATGGATGGATGGATGGATGGATGGATGGATGGATGGATGGATGGATGGATGGATGGATGGATGGACGGACGGACGGACGGACGGACGGACGGACGGACAGACGGATGGATGCCAAAAAGGCCAGCAACACGCGAAGAAATGTTTTTTTTAATTCTTTATTCATAGATAACCCCGCTTTGCCCGGAGGCAGTACAGCAGGGGGTTACAAACATGAAAAAAAAAACATCTTCATTACCACTGAACACTTGCTCAGACAGCAGAGTGTTCCACTCATTAATAGCTTTCAAAAAAAAAATTCGCGTACAGGTTTGTTTTGGCCCGGTATGACCTTATTTTTTGTATATGATCTATATGTTCAGATATGTACTCTTGTTTTAAAGAAACACCAAAGAAACACTTTTAAAATGATTGGGCGCATTCGAATACTTGAATGGAGTGGTATTGGCATCCCAAGCTGCATGCGGGTACTGAAGAAGTCAGTTTCGTCGCAAGGGTGAAGCAATAAATTCGATAACAAACAATTGAAATGTCACGCGAAAAATGGCCAGTAGACTGAAAGGTGCAATGCGCTGTTCACGCACAAATGACGCACAAAAACAACACAAAGAGGACGAGAGTGAACTAACAACGTTTACAGCTCGACACTTAATGCGCAGCTAAAATAAAAACAACGCCCGAAACGTACTCATAGGTACAATTGACCGCGAACTAACAAGTGGCAATCAAGTTACTTCGCTGTGTCTGAAAAGCGCGCTATTTTTGCAAACGGGACGGTGCAGCTAGAAAAGCAACCTTTGTGCCCTCAGTCACTATGATGCAATCGTTCTGGTGAGAGCCCAAGCGTACCATTCTCTGCCACTGCGATATTAGTGCACGCGCGCATGAGCGGCTACCCCCCCCCCCTTCCTCCCCCTCCGGCGCGGCCTTTGCCGCACGGGAAATGAGCGCACGGGCACGCCTCGCCGTATCGCGATCAGCGGGGGGCCGAGGGTGCTTTGTGCGTCAGCTCGCTGGTAATGCTGGAAACACGCTAATATTTATTCCGAGGTCTGAACCGCCAGAGGTAAGTGGCGTATGGAAATAGCTTGCTGTTCTAACGTTGAAGGCCTTGTGCCTTTGTGGCTCAGTGGCTAACGCCCCTTTCTTGGTTCGTGTTAAGGTAAGTTCAAATGTCAAGCATTCGATTTTGCACGTCGAAAAGTATTCTTGTGAATTATTTTTCTTTGTTGCTTATATATATATATATATATATATATATATATATGTATATATATATATACGGGACATGACGGCAGTGACAACGGCAACACCGCTGGCAAGAACCAGCCGAGAGTTTTCATATAATGGGTATCGCAATAAAACGCTAGAGTGAACAAAGAAGTCGCAACCGGTTTCTATCCGATTTTAAAACGTTTCCTTGTTTACAAATGAAAATTATGTGCCGTGCACTCGTCCGTCGTACTCCGAATTGCTCGTGAAGTCCGCTTTTCACTGTCGAGTGCCTGTGCTGTATATGCACATTACGTTACCATTTTGTATACCTCGTCTTCGCCTGTCATCTCTGATCGCAACGTGGCATCACTAAACTCAGTACTCGGGTCTGTTTCGATTTGAGTTGTGTGATGCAATGTAATGGTTGGGAATAGTCATCAACTAGCACAACCTTCTGTTATTACATATAAGCTTTATTTCTAGTACACTGAGCCCTTTTCCGCGTTCTTCTGCTTATCTGAACTATCTTGCTTCCTTGGCTTCCTTTAATGATACTTGATTCAGGCTAGGACTTTGTCGTGGTCTACTGGTAGACCACTTCGCCATCGTTTCAGAACGTTTTAACCGAACTGAAATCTGTGATTTTAATCAGTATAATTGCTTCATCATATGGTCTGTGTCGGGACGTTTTCTCATACTTGTAATAAAAGCACGGTTCAATGGCATCCTTTATTATTGAGGTCTACATTTCTCTCCGCAGCAAGCCAACGGCAGCCGCGTGCACGCCTTCTACTCGACTCCCGCCTGCTACCTGAAGGCTCTGCACGACAGTGGCGTGCGGTGGCCCGATTTCTCGGATGATTTCTTCCCGTACGCCGATCAGGATCACGCTTACTGGACCGGCTACTACACCAGCAGGCCTAATTTCAAGTACTACGCGCGCCACGCCAATGGTGTTCTCCAGGTATGCGCACACGGACACGTGGAACATGCCTTCTTTGCACGCCTGCACGTGTGGGTGTGTGCGTGGATGCGTGCGCGTGTCCACTATACGACGTGTGTTTCCATGGGAAAAAAATTCTGTGTCATGCCCTTCTGAACTACAGGGAGCTCTAGTTATAGCAACGCTATACGACGCACATGGAGGGAATTTTGAAGGCTGCTATGTTTTCGCGTAGGTGTGCAACGTACCTGCTTGGTAACACGTTAGAGTCGGCTTCTCCACATTAAGAGAATTCTTGCGGAGAAGACAGTTTATAGAATCTCTCGTGCATGCGCGAGTAACCGGAAAAGATACCATCTAACTCAATGGGCGGAGATGGCTCATCAACAGAAAACGTTCCTTCAGTGTGTGCCACTACTGTTAAGTTCTGTATGTGTAATACCAAAGATTTTTTAAATCCGCACACGTAGTTTAGTTATGTCATTTTTCGTGGTTTTCTGTGTTTTTCATTATGTATGTTTGAACGAATACTCAAGAATAATGCCAGGTAGATAAGTGCAAATGGCTATCAAACTGCAATTTTTCTGGCTTTTTGTTGCGCCCCTGGCATTTTATAAGGGTTTGTAAAGTTTAAGAACTCAATTATAAGGAGAATATAAATATGAAGAGCTCATTGGCCAAGTAAGGATAACGGGGTTGGATAATCGGACGTAGAGGCGGCCGAGGAAAGCAGCTTTCACAATTGAGCTTGCAAAGTTTTTGCGCACGCTTCTATTAGGAATCACTCTTTCATATAAGAGGAGATTTACATTGAAAAAAAATTTAAGACTCACTCTTTGTCTGAGTCGCTCTGTAAGAGTCACTCTATAACTGTCTCTCTGTGCATATTTGTTTGTTTGTTTGAGCATGCTTTCTCGTTTCAGTATTGTATTTGCTTAATTTTAGTCCTGTACTACTGATCATGGTGCTCTGCTCTGCTAAATACGCAAGTATTCTCTCAAACCACTTTTATTAACAGGCATGCAAGCAACTCAAGGTCATCGGCCAGTTGGATGACAGCGCAGACGTCGACACTCTTGGTGAGAGACAGATAATCTATTTATGTAGCGCATTCAGCCACCACTACCGTGACATTATTTGGCATCAAAGTGCTATATGTTTAGCTTTGGTAACTTTTCAACGTCCGATCCCATATCTACGAAAAAGTTCTTACACTAGAATTATTTGTTACTGCAAGTTCTAGCCGATCAAGATGTCGCGCACGTATGTTATTAGTGAAAGTGAGCGGCCAGTAGCGAACATCATTGACGGACAGTGCAATTTCAGCTCCAAATTCGCGAGTCTACAAACCAATGGTACTTAATCTCAGTGTGCACGTCTGGATTGAACGACGCTTTTCTTCCTTCTCCTTCCTTCTTTTTTATCATCCTCTTCCCCATTTTCATTCTTATGTTAGCGAACTGAACGCACACGTGCCTGATCTTGTTTCCAGTCATTTCTCTTCCTCCTTTTCTGATGTATAATATATTAACTGCATAACAAAAGAGCTCGCAGTACTGTGAAAAAATTCTGCATATGGTCATGTAGTGGCTCTTTCGCACACTAAGCTGTGCCTTCGATCATGTACATTTGTTCTACAGAGGCAGGAAACAAAGAGTAATATCAATGTAATAAGTATACTCTTCATATTGCACATTCTTATATAACTGCTGTCATATTTCAAAATGAGAACACACTCTTCTTGATAATAATATTAGGCTAAAGTGTGATCCCTCTTTCACGCCAAAGTGCCAGCGTACTTAACCAATACAGTCCTATTCTCATACAATGTAATTTCTGATGTTGGAATTTGAACCTGCCTCATGTTTTTTGCCGGAATTCTCTTCCCAAATTTTTTAGTAAAAAGATTTTCACTTTGAAATTCAGCATGCTAGTTGACGGCGGTCGACCCTATAGGTGTTGAATTGAATATATAGTTAATGTGAATTATAGTTTGTAAGTACAGTTGATGTATATATATTTGATGTAACGGAGTGTAGTTGTGCTGGAATATAGAGGACTTGTTTTATTCTTAAAAGTATTGTCATATACTCAAACTTGCGTTAACATGAACCTAACGAATGTATCTCATGCACTGCTGCACTTGCTAAGTTTGAGGTCGCGAGTCCGATTCCCTGCCATGGTGAACGCGTTGTGACGGGGATGAAATGCAGTAGCACCAGTGTAGTACTTGAATTTAGGGGCTCATTGAAGAACCCATGTAGGTTAATATAAATCCGAGGTGATTCATGGAAGGGCGTTCCTGCGTACATTAGTTCTGCCTCTGCCTATTTGGAAACTCTATACGGGCAGCCATCTCTCAACGTAGCGTCAATGCAGAAGTAAGCATGAACCTGGCACATCAATACAGCCTATGCCCACTGTGAGAACGGGATCCTGTCGTTGTCGGCACCAAAAATGAGTACGTGCTGGGCATCCTCCTTGGCTTGGAATAGCTGCGGTTGACCAACAAAACCATCAACGTGCAAGCTTACCTCAAGGCAATTCACAACATGGGCAAGGGCGTAATTCGGCTGGCCAACACATTCACCACAGATTACATTCTGGAGAACACGAGCTCACCTAACAACCCAATCATCGGGGCCCGGAGACTTGGCTCTATCAATGTAGTGACGCTAACATTTGAACACAGCAACATTCCAAGGCTCGTTTTCTTCCTGAAAGAAGCCACCTTAGTGCGACAGTACAGAAAAAAACAACAACGCAGTTTGTGCCTTGTGCGGCCAGCCTGGACACCGAATGACGTGTTTTTCTTCGCCTATTCCGGAGACCGAATGGTGTGGGCACTGCGGCAAAACTGGACTGGACACGTTGTAACCCCGCAAGTGTTATCCAAGCTGTGTGCTCTGTAGCGGGCCGCATGCTACTGGCTCTCGTGACTGCTTGCGCAGATATTCCCAACCATCCTCCGCAAAGCCTTCAGACCAGCAGGCTGGCCAAGCAGGTAACCGCAGCTAAACACCATATGGTGACCACAAGGAACAGCCAGAGAGCATCAACGTGGCCGGCAATGACACCAGCACCAGATCATACTGGTCCCGATCTAAGAAGCGGGCGGCGTCCTGATCCAAATCACAGTCCCAGTCTAGGGGATTGAAATCAGCCCAGAAGCACGACAAGCGCGATCAGATGTCGGTAGCGCCTTCTTCAACCCTCAAGTCAACGAGTCCTCAGGTGAGCTGGGCAACAAAAGTCGCCTGCCAAGGCACACAAAATAGCTCTTGAAATACAGAATCTCCATTAATCGAACACTATATAAGTACTGTTGAAAAACAAAATCGAATGTTAGCCCAACTGCTGCAGTTTGTTGTGTAGCAGAGAAAAAAAATCGTCTGTCTTCGATAAGCAATTACAAAAAAAATCAGTGTCATCAGACGTATGCTGCAACTACCATAAACTGTGAGAGGTCCTTGGCACCTTATAAGACGACACAAATAGACATTGGTTCTATTTAATGCAGCAGCTAGACCTCGCAGAAACAGGCTTCATTAGCCGAAATGGTAGACAAGGTATTGGAAGAGAAATTCAGTGATTTTACAGCAACTATAACCTCCACCCTGCCACGTGATGGCTAGCCGAGGTCTGCAGCTTACAGTAATACAGTAGAATTGTCACAGTTTGTGCCACAAGGCAGCATCACTGCATAACTATATCAAAGCCTTACAATTAGTGCCAGAAGTAATAGCTTTACAAGATGTCAGTCAACACACAGCCAAACTTTCTATGTATAGAGCTCGCGCTAGTGCCTGCGGCATATCAGCAGTTACGCTAGTCAGTAACCATTATGCCGCTCTACAGCACGACCCTGCCCTCAGGGATGCTAGCTTAATTATGTATTCATCCAGTTTTATTCCGCGCAATAGGTACCATTATTCAATATATGTTACATACAGTCGCTTAGTGCACCAACACCATACGTTTGCTGAAATCATCCGCAAGGCGAATGTCATAACAACACTCACCCCCTGTTAGTGCTGGGTGACTTCAATGCCAAACATGCATTGGGGATACGTAGTTGAAGATGTAAAAGGGCGCAGGTTATATGAATTAATGACCATAGAAGGGCTCACACTACTCATGGACGTGGACTATCCCCTGCAGATTGGCGACAGCGTAACATGAGATACATGACCAGACCTTACCATAGCTCTCAATGCTCCATAACCAAAATGGCTAAACTCCCAGGAAGCACTGGGAAGCGACCATTATCTCATCCATACCACCATAACACATGGCCGTCATAAAACACATGATAAATCAGTCTAATTTATGGATTGGCAAGCTTTCTGCAAAACATAAAAGTTTTCATTTCACCAGCCACCTGATTCTTATGAGGAATGGTCGTGAATACTCATGCAGCTGAGTAAGGAAGTGACCAAAGAAATAAAAACTGACCAGGAAATAGCAGCAATAAATCAGCACCTGCTACACCTCCGGCATTCAAGGCAGCAGCTGACCACACGATGGAAGCGCCAGAAGTTTAACCGCAAGCTCAAACTTTGCATCGCGGAAGTTACAGCACAAGCAGATGAATATATATGCCTCCAACTTTGCAAAATATAATTAGTTCGCGAAGTATGATGCACTTACGGGCACACTACATACTAAATCAGCCTGGCACATACTACTGTATCCTATAGACCCATTCCATGTTTTTAAACACTGGTAGACCGACGTCACCAAATGGATAAAGTATAGCGATGCCCACACGTAACTCCTGCCATAAGCGCTGAGGGCTGCGATGCGCGCCAAGAAAACGACGCCATAAGCGTTGTGAAAGCCATAAGCACTGAGGGCTGCTATGTGCGCCAATGAACAAAACTAAATTGTGGGACGCGACTCACATCCAACCACGACGCAGTTCGTCGGCATACTCTTTCTTGTTTTTTTCTCCTTGCTTGACTCAAAACACCACATGCATCATTGAAAACCCAGCAGAAACTGCGGTACGCAGAGCGTCTTTTGCCGACCAAGACAGGGCCACCGCATTTTGGTGACGTAAGTCTGGTGGAATTTGTCTATAGACCCAGAACAATCACGCGGAGCCACCCATCGAAACCTTCAGCGGGCTATCCTTGCTAATGTGCAGACACTGCTCAGCTCTATCGGGATCTGGAGGACAAATACATCAATACCTCTGTGAGTGCTCACCATGTCCCCGATCATAACGAAATCGTCGACCCGGAAACGGACCAAGATTTCACGGCTGCAGATACTAGAGCGGCAATTGACATGATGCGTCGTGGAACAGCTCCAGGTCTTGATGAAATCACTACCACCTTAATGGCCTATTTAAGTGACGACATGCTCATTATATATACTAATCTGATAAATAGGTATTGGGTCGATGGCATACTTCCTCAGGAAGTGAAATAGGCTGAAATTGCCTTGATTCCCAAACAATGAAAGTCGATCCATATTGACAACCTTCATCCTATTTCCTTAAACCTCTTGTGCCGGCAAAGTAATGAAGAAGGCAATGCAGTACGTTCGGCTCACTGAATACATGGGAGCTAACGACCTTTTTCTAAATACCATGTTTGGCTTTAGAGCACAATTATCGGCACAGGATATTATATTTCACTTAAATCACGACATAAATAATTGACCCAGTGGAGCGACGCAACAGGAGCATGCCATTCTGGCAATACTTTGAAAGAGCCTTCGATAATGTCCGGCACTCGGCTATCCTAGCTAACCTGGCTGAAATAGGAAGCGGTCAACGTGCACACAACTACGTGCGCAACTTCCTCCACAATGGGAGACTCCGGAACACTGCAAGAGGCCATAATATCGCCACCATTATTCAATATCACATTACTGTGATTCAATATCAATTGCCGCTGTCACAACGCCGCCAATGTGTTGTCCTGAATGGTACTAAGTCGTAATAAAACTTGTTGTTGGGCTAGTTGGTTATACATCATATACTTAGAAATTTGGCGCAACCTCGACTCACGCAAACACTCACACAAGCACACACACTTACACCAGAGCAACACACACACACATTGAGCGCTGCGTGTCGTGTGTGTTGCTCTGGTGTAAGTGTGTGTGCTTGTGTGAGTGTTTGCGTGAGTCGAGGTTGCGCCAAATTTCTAAGTATATGAGGTACTAAGTCGGAATTTCTAGAGGTCACTTCGGGCGTCCCCCAGGGATCTGTATTGGGGCCTCTGCTATTCATAATTTTTATAAATGACATTAACAAAGATATAAGCTCAAGTATACGGCTCTTTGCTGATGATTGCGTAGTCTACAGAAAAATTCAGAAAGAACATGATGTCCTTGAATTGCAGTCTGATCTTGCACGTATTCATCAATGGTGCCTTAAGTGGCAAATGAAGTTAAACACAAATAAGTGCGTTCATGTGTGTTTTACAAAGAAGAAAAAAATATTTGATGCAAATTTTTGTCTAGGAGGAAATAAATTAGATAAAAATACTCGTACAAATATTTGGGTGTATTGCTGTCGCATGATTGTTCCTGGAATGCACATGTGGATTATGTGGTTTCCAAAGCCGCGATAGCGTTGAATTATATTCAAAGGAATTTGAGATGTGCAGATCCTAACCTTAGAAGCACGGCCTACCTCACTTGTATTCGTCCAATCTTGGAGTATGCCTGTACTCTTTGGGACCCAACACAAACAGGTTTGATAAATAAATTAGAAAAAATACAAAACAGAGCAGCCAGGTTTGTTTTGGGTCGGTACGGACAAAAGCAGAGTTGTACCGAAATGAAAAAGGAGTTAAACTGGGAGTTACTGTCGTCCCGTCGCAAAAAATTGCGTTTGAAGCTTTTATACCAGATATTTCATAAAAAAACGGGACTAGACAGCGACACTTACTTAAAAAGACCAGATTACATATCTCAACGTACAGACCACATACACAAAATAAAGCCGTGCCGGGCCAGGACGAACCTGTATTCAAACTCGTTTTTTGTTAAAACTATTAACGAATGGAATTGTTTGACATCTAAGCAAGTGTGCAGTGTTAATGAAGATGTATTTTTTTCAACTTTGTAACCCCCCTGCTGTAACGCCTCTGGCAAAGCGGGGATATGTATGAATAAAAAAAAACTGTATCTCCCTGGAACACCCGGTAAGATACCCAAAATCAAACATGCAATATACGCAGATGATATAAAATATGGGGTTAACTAAACAGCCGACACAGACTTAAGAACTTATGCAGACGTTTAGTAGCATCCACATGAGCCCATAACATAAAAGATGGCTTCTTGTCCTCTTCCAACAATCTCAAGCGCTCGCTAGCATGCTGGGGCAAAGCTCGTCGTTTTGCAACACTTAGCAATACCTTGCAAAACCTTGCAAAAACGTAGCCAAGCTACTATGACAAGTCGTGCGCTACCAGTGCAAGCTGCTCTCATACATTTTCTCAAGTTTGCTATGCTGGTTTCAAAATTTTACCAACACTGGCTCTTCCTCGTGGCCACATCTTTGGAATAGATGCGCCTGTGCGACAGCACTACCTCTAATCTACTGTATAAACACGTGGCTTGTGAATGCGAAGAAAAACACGTTGGTTCATGTGTCAACGCGAGCAGACATTAGTTATCGGTACGTTATAAAGGAAGGGGTGTAGTTAAGATCAGCTCCACATTGCAGGGAAGCTTGTTGACGCTTGTCTGTAGCAAACACTAGGCGCCTATGGTACGCGACGATGTCATCCCATACAGCTGTGACATCGGACGCATGTCCGCCATTATTAAGTGCAGCTCCCTTGGGCACACTATCACCGCAGAGAGGGAGAGAGATAAGATAGGTGGCAAATCACACTCGTGCACTTGCGCGGTACTTGCAATGAAAGGAGGTGTCTGCTACGCGAGCCCGCCTGTGGCTCCGACGGCCGCCACTACGCAGTTTTCGGTGGTGCCCCTATAGGTGTGGACCGTGTGGCGCATCACGCATTCTATTTATATTTTTGATGCAATCTTGAGAGCCTTTGAAAAAATGTAATTTTTTCTTGTGTTTAATGTGTGAATTTCGCGATCACATCATGAGGCACAATAAAATGAAACAGTTCTAGAAAAACGTATACATACTATAGGTACGCTGGACAGTACACAGAAAAAAAAAAGAATCTAACAGGACAAGTGCCAACTCTCATCAACAAAGGTAATTAACAGAAGTGTAACATATTTATATTGCTCATAAATACTGTGATTACTGTCGGCTTCTGTCCATGTTTGTCTGTATTCAGACTGTTTCCAGTGACCATTTAAATACTTGTTGCAGAGCTTAATACACCATGAAGCAAGGAAAAATAATGCTGTTTACTGAAGTGCCGTAGCTTTATTAATGCAAGCAAGCCTGATGTCGTTGTTTTCACTTTTGCAGCAAAAGCCGTGGCGGTGTTGCAGCACCACGACGCAATATCGTAAGTGTAGCATGCCTGCAGCTAGACTTGCACCTTTCTTTAAAGTTGTTGGATATGTGTGGCAAAACTTTGGGATAAGTGTTCATTTATTTTTATTTTTGGTTGCGTATTCTCTGTCTTTCTTTCTTTATTGACAAAAAAAAAATGCAGATTGGATGCTCGCATTTCGCCACGCTATTGTCACATATATTGTCGATTGATTAATTTCAGCTACTTTCATTTATTTATTTATTTAGTGAATACTGCCGACTTCTGTGCGAAGTCGTAGGCAGGAGTGGGTGACAGATACACTTGATTGGACATTTTCCAGGGCAAGAAAACAACAGTAGCTTAAAACAGAAAAAATATGTCGGGAGAAATATAGAAGAAAAACAGAGATTTACAAACATTGAAGTCAATGCAGCGCTTCAGAATGAGCAAGTTTTGTTGACAAAAAAAAGGCGAGAAAAATACATATCGACACAATCGACGAAGCGTGATATAATTGAGCTAGCGCTGAACATAGGAAAGTAATACAACTCAGACACACACAGGAGAGATTAAATGCGGTGACAATGAAATAAAAAGAAAGAAAGAAAAAAAGTTCAAAGGATAGCTGGCAGATTTGCTATCGCATTCATGAACTTGGCTGCATATAGGCCGCACGAAGAGAGAGCACAATTTATTATTCAATATATTACCTACAAAGCCAATTCATAGAGGAAATGGAGCCGTGAAACAGTTACTGCTTGCTCTCAAGCGAAAAGTCTTGTTCTGTATCTCTCAGAGGAGTAATCCTCGTTTACACTGCTCCGGTGTTCAATGCAGGGGCACTCAGAAGCAGCATGTAGCTGAGGACTACGTGTACATGACTGAGATAGGGATCAAGCAATGTGAGGTACGTGAAAAGTGTCTTTCGATAATTTTTTAAGCTACTAATTTATTTGCTAAGAGCACTTTTGCTCCACTCTTTTTTTTCCTGCGAGTCTTGTGTAACGACAGAATACATTAAAGTTTCCATAGCGTAATACATGTACCGAATTACGCTGCTAGATCATGCAATAGTCAATGCTGATTTTTTCATGCACCTATGTGCAACGAAACTAGTCGTATAGCATTATAACTTGCGCCAACGCAAATAACAGCTATTTAGAGTGCATCATTTTATCTTTATTGGATTGACTATTCTGTCTTTCTTCATCTTGTCAGCTTAGGGACAGCATTAAAGCTCACTGTAATCAAAGCAGCTGTTCTAGTTATATGGTTCTTGCAGCTACCATTAAAGAAACAGAACTCGAGTACTTCATTGATCCCACTGTTATCTTTATTTTTTTTTCTTATTTCTCATTTGACTAAATAAAAATATCTGTTTCTCTTAATAGACTCAGGTTCGTGTTTTGCTTCATTACGAAAAGCAAAAATGCATAATTATTCTTACATAAATAAACATGCGTGGTGCAAAAGGCACCTAGGCATGTGCAGTACTTAATTTTTTTCTTTGTCGTTATCACTAATATTTTATATTTTACTTGAAATTATATTATCCACAGAGCACTTAGTATTGCCAACCCAGCAGGCAGAATTTTCCATCGGTCGGGAGATTATGCCCCACTCGAAAGCAGTGTCCACTTTTGTCATATGCAGGACGTATTCAACAAGGCGTACCAACGAATGCTGCTAACGGACGCGGCCGGTAATGCCTTCCAGCCGGACATCTGCTTGACTTTCTGCCCGCTTCTCAACATCAGCAGTTGTGAAATCACCGAAACAGCTGACGAGGTGAGTCGCGCACCTTTGTGTGTGAAGAAAGTGCCAACTGTTTAAAAGACATTGTAAATATGGCTCCAAGCGACATAGTCAGAGGCTAACGTATGTAATATATATGATGCGGGTGTATTATGCGACGTCAGTTGAGGTTCAGTTGCACCGTGCAAGATGGAAATTAATGTGTGCTGTGTATTAGAGGAAGTGGAATGGGAGTGCTGCAACGTCTTGCAGGTGACTCTACCCTTGTAAAAACTCTATACCACAGCAGTTGCTCCACCAGAACACCACTTATAGATGTACTGATAATGCTAAAGTGCGATATAGCCTAAACATCATTGCACAGCACATAAGACTAACCGCGAGAACATAGAGCTGGGGCGTATGATTCACTGTCCGACATCCAGCCATTCTCACTTCGTTCGCTACAGGGAATGTTACTAATTGTTCTTTACATACTCATAGAAAGAACTTTTCTTTCCGAGCCTTATTTCTCAACCTCAGTGCAGGGTAGCAAACTGATTCGTTTTGTTATAGTGCAGTTCAGTTAGAGCCTGAAAAAAAAAAGACAATGCAGGTGACAGGATAGCGAAACGAGATTATGAGGCACGAACTTGTCCAATTTGCAGTATGACTAAACCCTAGGTAATCTCGAAAAACGGCAAATGGAATAAAGTGACCTGATGACTCCTCCTTGACCTGTATGTACGCCTGTATGGAACGTCAAACCTTGTCGCAATCTCTGTCTCGCCGTTTTTGTTTTTTTTTGCGCAGTTCTTTGTTTTTGTCTACAACCCGCTGTCTACATCTGTACGAACATACGCGAGGCTGCCCATTACGGGTGGTGGCTACGAAGTGAAAGAGCTGCCCGGACAAGTCATCGAAGCGCAGGTGAGGACTCAACTTTGTGTACATGCACGTTTCTGAGACCAAATTGTGTATTGCAAAAGTGCTTATTCTTAAATGCAAAGCATTCTTTAGTCGCACGATGTCGCGTTTCAGCGTTGGCAGTGGTGCCATCCACGCCCCCACTGCGCATGCTAGCGTCTCACGCCTCGTGCCGCATGCTCGCTTCTCATGCCGGCCCAGAAAGACACCCGCAAAACTATCGTTCCTCTTTCCCTCTGCCTCGCTAGGCGGACACAGACAAAGTGTACTAGTAGAAAAAACGACTGTACGCGCTGCACAACCATTCACTGGCCACCCGGTATATGTAGGCACTGGATCGCGCGTGATGAATTCAGTCAAGGGTGTTTTTACTTGGCTTTCGCTTGACGTTGAAGGCAATGCTTTTGCTTAATTATAAATAACAGAAATAAAGATGAAATAACAATGAGCGTTCCCAAACGACACCCAAGTACGCAACATTCACGCGATACTGCCACCACTCTGTGATGCATTTACTCATGTTCTTTTCATGGGGAGATGTGGGCAGCATTTTTTTTTGCTTTTGCGAAGTTTCCACATTACGCACCAGTTGCTAACATGCAAGCAAGGTTTGCTGTGCCACCTGTCCTAACAACATCTCTTCTGGGCGACACCTTCTATTATGTTTTGGTAACACGCTATACAGCGCTAGTAATATAGGGAGCTTTACAAAGTCTTCTTCAGCACGCCTACGCCTTTTTTGCGTGCTCACCATCGCTTCGGGACGCTTAGCATGTTAGCCGCGTAGTAGCGTAGCAACAATTCGTTGAAGTGGTGTTTTTGCGCATATGTGCGGAGGCGTTCATCACACCCTCAATGGGGCTTCCGAATCAGACTTTCTTGAAACCTGGCTTTCCCATTTTTCTCCTGCACTTTTTATAGTATATTTATAACTTATCGCTGTCGACTGTGGAGGCCTGCATTGACGCCACAACATTCACATATATCTGGCCACTATACAGGGTGTTTCAAGAAATGTGTCCAATAGTTTTAAAACATCAGGAGAAGATGCTATTTCCTCGCTGTCTTCACAGTTGCTTTTTATATAGTGGCAAGCATCTCAAGAGGGCTGAAGATGTTATCTGGAATGGTAATTAAAAAGTTGAAATAATTAACTTTTTAATTAGTGGAGTTGAGCAGTTAAGTCAAATAGAAGAATTGAAGTCGTTCATGCGAAAAAAAAGTGCCGCTATATCCATGAAGTGAATGATGATGAGTGGGCGAAGCTCCGGAGGTAAACCTGGTAAACCGTGAATCCTTTCATACATTTTGCTCACATGATTTTATGACAACGCTCCCCCTAGCGTACGTCGCCACACTAAATCGAACGATTGCCTTCCACCAATGACACGCACCATATGTGACATCATTCCTATTTTATAACATCTATCATCTTTCATCATCAACTAGATGTACGGCCGTCTAGTTTATAACATCTTGCATCTTTTCATCATCAGCTACAAATACCACCATCTAGTGAACACTGCAGCAACTAAACGAGAGGTGGCTATATACAGGGAATGCACAGCCCATGCTTTAAGGAACTTCGCCCCTTAACCGAGTGCCGCTTTAAGATTTCGAAAAAGTGGCCTCTAGCAATAACTGCAAGTTAATGAAATTCTCCTCAAGTCTGCGGCGAAACTGAAACCAAAACGCAAAAGAGCGCAACTGAAATGAGGGAGCGTTGTTATATCAGCCATCAACCGACTTCATTGTGTGGGTGTGTGGACTGCACTTGCAATTACAGCACACATGACGCACATACGCTATCGAACGAAAAAGAACTGAACCCCTGTACCGCTGTTCTGAACAGTGATGTCATTGTGGTCGTCTGCTTGTTGCGCTCTTCGGTCAGTCTGTTTCGTTTTCACCGTAGAATTCAGAAGAATATCATTAATTCATAGTTATTTCTAGAGGCGTCTTTTCTGTAATTTCAAAGCGGCAATGGGTTTTTCGCATCAAGAATTTCAATTCTCCCATATGACAACTGCTGAACTCTACTAACTAAAAAGTTAATTAATTTAACAATTATAATTACTGTTGCAAATGATGCCTTAAAGCTTGTTAAGATGTCAGCGACTACTGAAAAAGCAAGTGTGAATACAGCGAGCAAATAGCGACTTTTGCTGATTTTTAATTATTATTATAGACATTTCTTGAAACATCCTGTATATATGCATATAAGGTTTGCACAAGGTGCCGCACATTGTGCCTGGTAATTCAGTGCATTTATTACGCTGAATAACATTTCCTCTTCCCGCAGTGAATGAATGATATTCATGCATATGTATTTGCACAACGCCAGTGTTTACAACACAAAAGTTTGATTGAGGGACTATTAACACTCAGCACTCGCATTAAGACTTTAAAAGCGTATGGTCTGGAGCTTGTTGGCACATGATTACAGCAGGAAACTGCACAAAAAATAACGAAGACAAAAAAGATCAAATAGAACCAGCGCTGCCCTGTCTGGTCTTTCTTGTCTTACTTGTATTGCGCTATTTTCTGCTACGATTGAAACTTTATCATGTGCTTTCTTTGCTATCCGGAGACTTCCCCAGATATATAGCAGTTAAGCTTATAAAACTAATCAGTATTCTTCGGAACATGTTAGTTACAAGGACATTTCTTCTTGAGCACAGATGTTATTGTGCAAATTTATTTCTCTATGTATACGACAAACTCTGCCTTCAGCGAACAGGTATGTGGCACTTGCGTCAGTGGCAACCTGAAACTCTCTGCGATCGGTCATCCTTACACATAGTCAGCACCCAGTGAGAAAGATGAGCATTTGTTTATTTATTGGTACTTTAGCATTTCGTCAGTTTTATTATTATCATGAGAGTGGTATTCATAAAAATCATGAAAGAGACACACAAGCAACAGCGAATAAATTCCTCACTCAAGGCAGACCACAGTGAAATTTACGTTTCCCCTAAAATAAAGAGAGCAATAAAACTGCATAGAAGTTTCCCTCTGACACATGGCCTGTTTCAACAAAGGCTGTGCATTTTCCTTTTATCGCAAATCCTTTTGTACCGTGACCAATTGTTTTCCTACATTCACATCGTGGAAAAGTAAGTTGTGTCGTTTCACGGTGAGTGGTGACCGTTGCGCAGCTCGTGCCGGTGCAACGCAAGGTCCTCCGCATCCCCGAGCGGAGGGCATCCAGGGCGACATCGGAGATTGTCTTTCCGATGCAGCTGCCGCCCATGGGCGTCACCACCTACCAGCTGCGGAAATACGAAGGCAAGGGCGTGGTCGTTCACACCACTTTTTTTCATTGTTTCTCGTTTCTTTGTTTCGAGTTTCTTTTATTTACATCCAAAAAGTCAAGTGCCATTAAACGAGTGTGTCTTTATCATGTTCAAAAAAAAGCAGCCCCGGTTCACATAGTTTTTTTTCTTGATGATGTTGGTTGTTTTTGTGATGCGTATCTAACTCAAAGCAAATTTTAAGCTGTCATACTGGAGTGAGCTATAAATGAATTCGTGCGATCTCTTTATGATAATCACGAACTCTGCTGAAATAATTCACTTGGAGTGATATGTGGGCAGGTGTGCATGCATGCCATGGAAATCTCTCGAATAAACTTTCGGGAGTGACGAGTAACAAATATTGCATGTCAGCCTTATTAGCTGGGGAAATTTCATGGAATTAGTACATAATGACTACAAGTGTGGTGTACTTAATACGTCAATAATTACAACTAAAAAGCTCCGTCAGGCACAAAGAAAGAAATCATTTTCAGTTTTTTGCCTTCTCGCATTGCCATTTTAACTGTACACCTCACTTATGAGTCAGCGTCGCTCTATAGTAATCGTGGCATATGTGCTTCTGCCACCAGTGCAGCAGAGATGCTACAAAGTGTGAAAGATCAAAAAATCTTAGAGCCAATAAATGGATAGTTTGACGTGCGCAACTCGTGGAGATCCTCCTCCGTTTATTCCCATTGTCATAGCAGCTATGACGTTGCGCTGCTTATCACGAGGGCACGGATTCGTTTCCTGGCCATGGCATCGCCGTTTCTGTGGGAACGAAATGCGATGTTCCTATATTTACGTACACTTTAACGAATCGGGTAATCTAAATTAAACCGGTGACCCACACAATGGCGTGCCGCATAGTTGTATTGTCGTTTCAGCCCATAAAACCACAAAATATTTTTATACATTGTCTACACATTTTGTTGGTGTTGCAGAGGTCAAGTTTTTCTTGTATTTTCAGGTTTTACACTCCGAGACAGCGAAAGCAGCGCTGTTTTCGATGGTGGCAGCGAAGCCCCTGCCATAGACAATGGCGTAAGTGGCACTTGCACAGCTCTTTTATGTGACATTGTATTGTGCGATAGAGTAAGCACTTGGAAGGAGTTACCAAGAATTTGAAGTATATATGTGTCGCCCCTCTTGGCGTTTAGAGAGTATTACCAGTATTACTCTGAGCAGCACATCAAACAAGTGTCATAGCCATAAAGTATTGCATGGTATCGGTACAGAGAACAGAACCGCTGATCAGGCAAAATAAATCAAAACATTCTCACCACGCTCCCCTTTCACGACAGTGTCTGCCTTTATAAGGTATCACGACTATAGGCTAACTAGGACCGTACTCTGCTGAGCAGATTTTACGCCTTGCGGGGAACAATGCACCATATACACATTGGCAAGGCGGGCATTGGCGTGGTGGGTGTGAAGCCAGAGGCTAGCCTTGAAACAGCTCTCACTGCAGAATACTTTCATAAACTTGACGCTTGCCTCTTGGCGAAAGGGTAGATTGCGGGGACATTCTGCCGGCCGAAAGGCAATGAGCGAACATTGCCTTTCGGCCGGAGTTGTCTGCACGCGCGTGCTTATCTCGTGAGCAAACAAGGGGGAGAGTATGGTTGCCGTGTTATTGTGGAAACGATCAGCGTGCGACGGCTCTTGCCACCACAACAGTCGGGAACTTCTATTGGCTGCGCTCTCAACACGAAAAAATGGCCTCAAAAGTGTACCTGGAGGGGCCGTCTACATATAGATGCGCTCTACACTTAACCAATTTCCACCAGCAGCAACACACGACGTATAGCTCTTAGTACCAGCATGTGCTGCCCAGAGAAGACGTTTTTTATTAACGCCGTCACTACGCACAAGCCTTGTTGTGGTCATCTACACTGGCCGCGCTGCAGGAAACTTGCTTACTTAGCAAGCCTGCTAACCTTGCTACATAAAACATTAGAATATGTTAATGACATTCATTGCTTTGCCTTTTTGGTGAAACTGTGACTTTTTCTTCAATCAGACAGATCTCAAAACTAGCCCACTTCTTGAAGTATTTTATGTGGAATTGTTTTTAAGCTTTTCTAAAATGTCCGAGTGAAGCGATAAGCTCTGAGCAAACACTTTTATGATAGATATGAGGGCCGTAAGGTTGATTATGATATATTTTTTCACATAAAGCTTTTAAATCTAACCTCGACAGTGACGTGACAGTAAAGTGAACTCAAGTAGGTGTGTATGTGCGCGTGCGTGAAACACAGGCAAAATATCCTGAGCTGTAAGAAGATACCTGCAGGGATAGGTGCGACATTTTAAAGCTGTTCTTGACCACATGCATGTGTGACTGAATGCCGTTGATGTTGTTAAAGTAACGCTCTACTCATTTTCACTTTTGATTTGTTCACAGTTAGCTCCATGTGCCCTGATCGCCTTTCTTCTGCTGAGGCAAAATTTGAGGATGGAGGAAAAGCAGGGCAAATTATTTTTGATGTTCAGAACTGAGCAAGTCTATCTATAACATGTCAATTTGTCAATGTAGATTGAGCGAGTGTATCGTATAATCGACCTTGCAGAAGTACCGGCTGTTCTTGGACCCCGTGACGGGCCTCTTGAATCGCGTGATGCTGCTTAACACAGGACTGGAGGTTCCCTTCCGTCAATCGCTGTTCGCCTATCTGGCCTACGAAGGCGTCGTCGAGAAGCCCTCAGGCGCCTACTCCTTCAATCCAGCTGACGATCAGCCCATCGATCTAGGTCGCCGAGTCAACTACAGCCTCGTCAAGGTGCTCACCGTAAACATGATCTATTGGTTAACAGAAAGTTTATGATCCTGAAATTGCTTGACAATGCTGCCTTATGATTGATGTTTAAGTCACACTTTTGACCGTACCTCTAGAAATCAGTGGAACCGACTGGTGGACTAGGTCGGGCGCTATCTCTGAGCACGGCTCAGTGCTGGCTGCTTTTGGAAACGTTGGCTCATAGCTAGAAAAATGTTTTTCTCTTGCAAAATTATCAAAACCACTCTCAGGGCGGAATTCTCCGTAGATTTGGATGGACAGTTGCTTTCTTTTTCTTCAGCTTCTGAATGCCACAGCTGTTGTGACTGCTTTGACGCAAACCTGTACGACAGTTGTCGCGTGCGCAGTGCTTTCAATTTTTTACAACCTTGTGGTTGTACAGCCATGGCCGCGTCTGGGTATAGCGCACGAGTGGCCGGCCTATTCCTCTGCGGCGCGACACATTACGGTTGTTGTGGGCTGTGATGTCGCGTGCACAGGTGCATGCGCGAGCTTACAGGCATGCAGGCATGCCAACACCAGTCACAACATTGGAAAGTGTGCTTGTTTAGCCCAAGATCTATGCTCCCTCAAGGCGATTTCATCACATCTGTTTCACAAAATGAAGCACGTTTCGACTAATAAAACACGTCTGCATCAACGTTGCTGCTTTCTGGCTCTTTTGAGGCATGCGAATATATGAAGATGTGATAACTCCTGCAGCTGCGTAAAAAAGAAAAAAGATTCTAGGTGGTCACAAAATCAAAACAGCCACAAAGAGTGCGTCGCCTATGCAAGTGTGTGTGTGTTATCAGTCCTAATGCGTTTCGTCTTATGAAATGAATATGACAAAACCACCAAGGTTTGAGGGCAGATCTTCGGTTAAACAAGCACACCTTCCAACGTTGTCACCCATGCAGAGTGGGCCTGTATGTTTGTAAGGCCATGCATGCTCCTGTGCAAGTGGCGTCTCATCCCGCAACGGCCGCAAGGTGTCACGCCACAAAGCTATAAGCCGGCTGCTTGCGTGCTAAACACCGACGTGGCCGCGGCTGTACATGATCAGAACGTTGCTTGCATTGTCTACGGTGCATTGTTAACCAGGTCCTGTGTATGGAGTGCTGGATATACAGATAGGAAAGTACACTATGCTGATGATCTGCTGCTAAAAAAATAATGGAAAAATGAGATGAGTGCTGCCTCGTCTTGTCGTCTCTGCTAATATTTGCGCAGCTGAAAGTCACTATGAATTACCGACTTGCACAGCACTCGGTTCTTTAATGCATCTGCACGTTGGGTCATTATCATTTTTTACTGTCTGTTCATACCCGTTCAACAATTATCTTTAAGAGCCGCGAAACTCGGGTGGTTCAAGGAGCACATGAAAAAACTAGTTTCTTTGTCGGTCTTGCAGACTTCTCATCTCCTTCTTTCAGGGCCCCTTGGTGCAAGAGATCCACCAGACTTTCAGTGACTGGGTCTCCCAAGTGATTCGGCTGTACAAGGACGAAGACATAATCGAATTTGACTGGGTCGTTGGGCCTATCCCGTTCAGGTTTGTTGTGCACTTTACGCCCATAACTTCTCCTTGACAGAGCACATACAGTGTAGCTTACATTGATCAAAGAAATACCTGATCCCGGTTCTGAATTATGCTGGTACTAATGACTTAGGAAATCTGATGGTCACTCGTGCTACACGCGGTCATTCTAGAGCGTATTGTTTCAGCGATCCCCCGTGGCTTGCCTCTATCTACCCAAACTTCCAGTAGATGGTGCGCCACTGCAGTTGTGAGGCAGCACTTTACTGCTAGCGTTTCATCGATCTTTAACGAATCAGGGCAAATAAAAATTATGAAAGCCAGTAAAAGAAAAACACAAAGGAATTCCTCCCAATTTTGTTTATTTTTATACAAAGAAGAAGAAAATTGTAAGGTCGGGATTTTGTGCCAAAAGCTAAAATATTTTTCAAAAACATCGGGTCGCCCACATGATGCTCTCGGCAGGACCGCTGCACGACACCACACCGTGGCGGTGAATCTCCGAGTGTCCACTTCTTGCACACAGGTTTCGAGATTAAGGCGAAAGTGTTTACTTCGACGAATTCATTGTGCCTAAGGCTGCCGGTGTCCACGAATAGAGTTGTAGAAATGAGTGTCCAGGCATTGTGAATTCTGGTTTCGTTGGGTTTGCGTAAGCATGTCGTACATAATTTTTCATGCGATCTTGCCGCTGAAAACTGAAAATTTGTGTGAACCACGCTTGAATTTTCATGAGCTCAAGGTATAAAGCAACCTTTGGGACGGTTTTACTATTTTACAGCTATATTATTATTTCATATAAATTGTTTTTTCGAAAATAGGTGCCGTAACGCTAACCCTAACAACCAATAGTGTATGTCGAGTGCGCAGTTGCAGGGGCTGTAAAGTACCCAGTTTACATATTCCCTCTCTTATGAAGCTCATGCCAGCAACTGCAACCTGCGGAAAAGTAAGAGAAGAAAAAATGAATCTCCGCACGCTGCCGAAAACCGCCTTCATTGCATTATCTAAAAGTAGTGCCATGAAATTAACTTGTGTGCCGAAATCCGCATTGAAAATTTGGTGAATTCTTTAAAAGTATTATATATCAAATGCGCAATATAGGGAACTGCCTAATATTCTTTAGCGAGTTTGATATACGCTGGTTTTGCTGCATCGCAGTTTCGGCAGGTAAAACCTCATAAATTACTAATATATATTTTGCAGCCATGCCTTTTTGCTCGATTCTGCATGGTATTTTTATTACCGTCTGCTCACTATCCGATTACTGCGTTGATAAAGCGGACGGACCGTTCCTCTGATCATTGCATGAAAATTCATACACATTAAAAAGGGCACGGTTACAGTTTAGAGACTTTGACATGAATTTGCATCTGTGCATACATGCAGATTTCTTTGTATGAGGCTAAATTTTTTATACGTCAAAGGGATGCATCCATATAAGTCACTCGAAAAATACGGTATCATTTATCATAACAATCTCACGTACAATCAGGCGCAAGTGACATAATATTGTGTCATTTGTGGCGCCTCCACTGTCGGGCTCTACTGTTTGAACCATATACAGCTTTTTGGTTGACTGTGGGTATAGGAGAAACAGTTATTATTTATATTATTATTATTATTATCATTATTATGAAGTGTAGACCACTTATAACGTAACCGCTTATAGTGCAGAACCCGTTACAATGTGTCCTTTTCTATTCCCATTTGTTCTCCCATAGAACCCCAAGTATACGCATACCGTTTATTGTGCAATCCCCCAAGATGAACGACCGGTTATAATGCGGTTGCCGGAAATTGTTTGTGAAAATTGCGGTAGCAAGTGGGCTTCTGAAAGGAGGCACGTTGGATTCGCCGCTGGGGAGAGAATGACGAGGTCATTATGGAGGAGGAATGGGCACAGAGTGAATGAACGAACGGCAGAAGAAAGAAAAAGAAAATAAAAAAAGATCGCGAAACCACATTTGGCAGGACACTGCGCGGGCTCGGCGGTTGCTTCGATAAGCCTTTGCACCGGAGCCGACCATAGAGAAACTACGCCGACGCGACTACAGCGTACTACGTTGGTAATGTGGCTTCGACCGCGCGCCGCTCAACATGGCACGTGCGATCCCATCCTTCTCAAGTGCGCTTAAGTTTCCCGTCGGCAAAAGCATCATCGTTATGGAGCTTGCAACAAATATTGCATTTGCTAGCGCATCTGTAAATATAAAACATTTTACGGTTTTATGACGGGAGCTTTCGCCTTTGCTGCTTGTGCGATCATACGTCAACTTGGGGAGTTTTCGTTGTCTTTGATCTCCCAGCTGCGAACGCGAACTTCGTATCATGCACACTGTACTTGATTCAGTGCTTGAGTGCGATCTTCTGAATGCCAAATCTTCATGTTTTGGACAAACTTGGACAAACAACATACAAAACGGCAAGCTAGGCTTAATCAGCGTTGGTTGTGCTTCGATCGGGAGTGGTCACATGCTATCTAAGTGGCAATTTGGTACCGAATTAACCAAACTGTTTGTGGTGGCTGAATTTGATGGGAAGAGAGACATATCGTTAATGAAAATGAGGGAGGCATGTGTAGCACTCAAATAGTGGTTCGCGATTCGATTGCAATGTCTTAAATCGGGTGCACGCCCGTGAAATCGAATGATTGGCGTTTTTTAGCACGGCAAATTCTGGGCGTTATTCGACATAGTTTCTGTGTAATGCGCTTAATCGAGGCGATATGAAAAGTAGTCGGCGAATTTCTGCGATGGCGCTTATGTTGTTATATCCCTACTTTTTGCCTTCATTTCGTTGGCACTACTTGTCTTTGGGCGATAAATTCTTTTAGCATTTGGAAGCTTAAATGTTAGTAAGCACAATGCCTCGCATGTTACCATTCTCGGACACGCAATGCTGCATGCTCAACACGTTTTGCGAAACATTGGCGCAATATTTTTGGCAGGTTTCTCTCTCGAGACGTTGCCTTTAGCCTGAAGCTTCCCTTGTTTACACACTGTTTATCACCTTGTAATCAATTATGCTTCAGTAGCTCATGAAGATAATAGATGGAAAAGTTGGTATAAGGTATAGGAGTTATCTTGTTTGATTCTGTATTCTCATCTTAAAGAGGTCATGAAACGGTTGCTTTACAACGATAATGCGGCACCATCAGCAGCCACATGCGCTAACTATATCATCAGTCCGAGTGGACCTGCATAGACACTTTGCCTATCGAGGAATGCGGAACTCCACTGCACATCGAGCGCGCGTAAGAGGCGATCATCGGCGTCTGCCATATGCGATAGGTGTCCCACAAGAATGCTGCTTAATATGACATCAGAGTTCAAGTTAGCGCCGATTGCGTATGGCAGAGTTGCTGATGGGTGTTCAAATTGCACGTGCTCGCAAGTACAGAAGTGTTACGCGTTCCTCGATAAGCAAAGCATTACTTATGATGACGTCACCTAATTAGTGCATGTGGATGCTGGTGGTTTTGCGTTGTTGTTTTAGAGCGAGCATTTTACGACCCCTTTAAATGGACACTAAAGTGAAATAATGAATTAGTTTGTATTGATAAAGTGTTCTCTGATAACCCTAATGTCGGTTACTTTACCCTTATAGATTGATTATTACTGGCGAAAGTCACGGTCAAAATTTCATTTTAAATTCTGTGCCGAAATTTCCGCACGGGTTGTCGCAAATTTCAAAGTGTAGTTTTCGTATTTTGGCGACATTGGTTCAACGAAGCTTCCTGAAATTTGGTATCTTTAGTGTATGTCCACCTCAGAGGACGATGTGCTTCTTTCTTACTGATAAAAAATTACGTTGTACTTAGTAAATGCGATAAAAATATATAATGTAACGACATTTGACGCAGAAATTTTATGGTGGCATCGCCACGTGCATTTCGTTTTCATGCTTCTACTCGGTTACCAGACATCTCGCATCTGGAGGGGTGATTGTAGAATTGTAAAAAACAACTTACCCTTGCGGGACACGATGAACCGGTCCTGGTGATAGGATAACTCAAATCGTGATAAAAACCACTTGTGTGGGAATCGTTGCATTAGCCGGGCCCAGGTATTCTAAACGCACGTAAGCGCTGCTGCGAAATAATATTACATTTATGATAGTTTTCTTTGTTTGTATATTGCAGCTGATATTCTTTTAGCCTCTCAAACTAATCTTGCTCTGTCTTTTCTAGCGAAGGACATGAGCCCAGCCGCGGCAAGGAGATCATCTCGCGATTCCAAACCTCCATTTGGAACCATGGCACATTTTACACCGATTCCAATGGCCGCCAAACAATAAAGAGAATGTGAGTGTCACAAATTTTTCTGTATTCACATCTTGTATATAAGAGTTTTCTAGAAAAGATGTTGCTCTCCAGAAAATGTGCATGTTACTTTTACTGTGCATACTTTTTTTTAAAGAACTTCTTTTCGAAATTTTTGCAGTGGTACGTCAAAGTTGTTGATGGTGTTCCTATATGTTGGTGTCTTTTCTCCTGCGTATGTTAAAGAGCGTCGTTCAAAAGCGGCGCAAATGGAGGATAGAATTCCACTTTGTGTGCTGTTTAATTGAAGTCTTTTCTTCGCCGGTGTATGTTTCCATGCGGCATTGCATGTAGTTGAAGTGAATAGAAGATATACTTAAGGCGTGATGAAGCGAATAAGATGAAGCGAACAGAATTCATACTTAAGGCGTGAAAATATTGTTACGGGAAGGAGACTGACTCAGAGGGGTAGTCACCGATGTATTTACAGCCGGTTAGGCGAGCAGCGCCAGCCACACAGATTAGCTCGTGCCAGTCTATCTGCCTTCTCTTCTTCAGCTCCATGCACTGGCACGTAGCACTATTGTGACTAATCAGTGTCCTTGAAAATGGGAAAAATGCACATATATTGTTCTCAAGTTATCGTACATTGTTATTGCTTCATATTTATAGTTCATTCGCATCCGCCCTCCTCGCACCTCTCTATATGCCCACACCTACTGTCGCTGGGAAGGCGTCTATGAATGCATTTGCTATGCCGCTCATTGACTACGATCAGTCTTATTGCTATATAAGTTCCTCATTGCATCCACTAGCTGTATGGGTGCTCTAAGCACCCGACAAGCACTCATGGGAGATTGCTTCATAGGAGGAACGCTCATCGACCGTGGACCAAAACCATCGTAGAGCCCACTACGTACAACTACTACCCGGTGGTGTCATGGATCTACCTGAAGGTGCGTAGATGCGGCTGATCTATACGTGACGGTCAGTGGCAGCGCCGGAAGCAATGAATTACCCGTCAATCTCAGTCTCTTGCAGTGTTCACTTAGCAGAAAATGGAAAGGGGTCAAAGGTGTGCTAACTCATGGGGCTCCGTACGTGCAGGCGACGCCTACCTCTTTATTTAATTAACTTAAATGAACCATAATGCTATTATTCTTTGCTGCTACAGGCCTACGAAGTCCCATTCAAATTACAGAATTAGGCGAGATGCACAACTGTATATTTACTACATTCAGCGAGATGGATCATGTGATAACTTGCCCATGAACGTACTTCCAGTCGGACCTTAGACCGCATACGACAGTGTCTCATGTTTTCTACTGTACAAAGCATTCATATATCACTGATACTTTCACGCAAAAGAAAAAAAACAGCTTCCACGTCTTCACTGCGACGACCATCCGCACAACAACCGCGTGTTGGGATTGTGCACACGCTCCACGTGGAAGTACTGCGCAATATTTGCCTCCAGACTAGCCCGTGTTATTACTCCTTATACCATGTCAAAGGTACGATTATATAAGATGGCGTCATGGTGCATATGTCCTTGTACCCACGTGCCAATGTTGATAAAGAATCAATGTAATTGGAGGAACTGAATCCTAGCAAATCATGGTCATAGATTACGTGATAAGAAAGGTTGCAGCAGCTCACTTTTCATGCAAGAATGGTGACAACACCTGCTTGTTTTTTCTCCAACGCTAGAGAAACCATTTCTTTTTTTGTAATTTTTTGGATTTTTGATTTTCCTAAGACAGCTTTTGTAGTTTGTGTTACATAAATGCACACATATGAATACACAAAAAAGAATAATAAATTCGAGCACAAGGGAAGTGTACTTACAAATTTTGGAAAAATCATCGCTTACTTTAGCCAGTCAAATCCGGTCACGCATGGTCTAGCAGAAATCATTGGTCGGGAAATCCGATTGGGAATCATCAGGCCCATTCGTTTCACTTGCACTTCGAGAACCGGTTCACGGAGGTGCTGCACTTTGGCATTCATTTCACGAGTTCAACATGGCGGCAGCGGCACCGCAATATTTGTTTTGAAAAAGTGCAGCACTCGTGCAAAGCCAGTTCACAAATTTCCTGCACCTGCTCGTGAGGTAGTGCCGAGTCCTTGCAGCACAAGATGGCTGCAGCTGCAGCAGACGACACAGCTGATTGCATTCGTGTCTGTTTTAGCGACGTGCAACAATTACGACAGTGAACATTTTCTGGCAGACACATGTCAAGCAGCGTAAGCAGTGCCGTCTTTTACAAAGTAGCCTCGACAAGCCTCGAGACAGCCAATGAGTAGGATAGGGCTTGCAGGACATCTGCACTCTCGTATTCGTTTCCACATCTCGTTGCTGCTGCACTTGCTGAAAAGTCACCTGCACAAAAACAGCACCCAGACGGCAGAATTTTGAACTAGTTCTGGAAGTCCTGGGTGAATCGAATGGACCTATCGTTGCGGGCCCTGCCACCGCCCTCCCGAAGGGCATCGTCCTCGGTTCCGTCGAGCGCATTCAAACGGCCAATTTTCTTGAAGCTCTTTCGATAATGCTGGTAGAAACTAAGTCCCACCACACGGCGATACCAGAAGAACTAAGCATTGGCACATAATTGAAAAGTCCTTCTTCAATGGCAAGAATCTTGCATTAGCAAGCGCACACTCTTCCACTTTCTTGACCACCTATCGTGGCGGTGGTCACATTGAAGTACATCACTTTGAAATGCTTTGCGGCGGCAAGCTTCCCATTTCCTTCAGCGAAATTTACAACAGCAAGCTCTATTTCGCCGTATACGTAATTACTGTAACACATCGCAAGGAAACCATCGAAACGAGTGAGCCGGATGGCAACACCTAAACTTCCGAAAAAGACCAAGCGTGCATTGCAGCGCAGACGCAGAGAACGCGTGGAACAGTTGGCGCGGCAGGCTCTCGCACGCCTCTGATGCAGAAAGTCATCCGTGCTGTGACACGAGCCTGCATTCTAGCCATTACCGCGGTGGTAGAGGTTGGGAGATAGGGAGAGGCAAACGCCCGAGCAGTTCCAAGGACCTGTCAACAAGTTTGTGTTCGGGTGCGATATTCTAGGGACCCTAGTTTCGAGGAAGTCCTCAAAAGAAGAGGCTTTACACTCGCAGCCTGTTTGACTGCTCACGTCTGCTTCGGTGAGGCGGCCACTGGAACGAAGCATCGAGAGGTCTAAAGGTGCGTGCGCTGCCGAGCTGGCTCGGGCGGTTCAGGGAGCACGGCATATGCGAGTAAATATTGTTTTTTTTCGAAAAGCTGGCAAAATATTAGGGGTGCAAAAATTAGATGAGGGTGCAAATTATGCACGTAAATACGGTAGTTGAGCCAGCTTCTTCACCACCCCCCTTTCTGAAATGAAATCCTGCCTATGGTCTTGCTTCTGATCGATATTGGTGACGATTCCCAAAACGAACTGCTTGCAAAGAGGGCGTGTCATTGAATGTTTATGATGACGTTTTCGTCATCAATAGTGATATTCTCACCAATCCCATGCTGCTAAGTGAATGGTTCGCTTTCCGAACCTTTGCCACAATATCAGTCCTGCATTCACGCATAGGACTGGATCGCCGATACAGTACGCAGACTAGTGGGACGTGCTGAGCTTGAATGAAACAATGCCCGTCTCTGCGGTATTCTTTTTGAAGTGTGATTCAGCCGCGCACTGGGCTTATCTCGATTGTCTCCAAAATCATCCCGTCATATGAAACCAGCCATATCAGCGAAGTATGTTCTGCAAACAAAAAGTAGAAACTGCGGGGAACTTACTAGAGAGCTTTCTTTTTCTTCCATTCATTTCAGAATGAAACTCACGACCTCCAGTTGACAGTGTTTCCAGATAGACCACAAGGTGGAAGCAGCTTGCATGAAGGCGAACTAGAATTGATGGTGAGTGTTGAAGCAACATCACAACATTTATAAAGTCCAAAATAAAAGCCTAAATGCTAGATATTCTAGTTGCACATCACACACAATAAGGCCACTTTTTTAAGAGTGGGTCCCAAAATATTGCTTTGCACAAGTATGTCAATTCACTGGAGCTAGTGGCATGGTGATACCTTTAAAAATACCTGTGCATGTACCCCTCTCCCCAATTTCTCCCCGATAGTTTCACTTGAAGGCACAGTTATCGGACAGTGTGATAGCGGACAAATAACAGCTCATACACCAACCGCTCTGCATTAGGCAATGAACAGGAAGGTTCATGGCGTCTCTGAACTATTACACGAATTGCAGCAGTAACACAAACGGCTTCAAATTTTAACATTGCAGATTTCAGTAAATATCGGTGCAACTATATATTTTGCCTTTCTAGTGCACACCAGCTTTCTGGTAATCATACACAACTGGGACCGTGTTGTAGAACAACACATGTGCAGGATTCTCAGTGCATGGAAAAGGCACAGTTCTGTCTGGTGGTGCATACTATGTCGTATGGAGCTCCGGCTCATTATATACATACTTGTAGAGGGAAACTGTTTCAACAATCATGACAACTTGACACTAGAAGGTATAGTGATGCCCTTGACTGTACGTTAACGGCTGGCACCTGTTTTTATGCAGCTTCACCGGCGGCTGCAGTATGACGATTCTTTCGGCGTCGAAGAGCCCTTGAACGAGATTGGCGTGGACAAGCGGGGCCTGGTAGCCCGTGGCACGCATCGCGTTTTCTTGGGCTCCATTGAGGACTCCGAACGAATGCTGCGCTCCATGGCCAACCGACTCGTGTTCTCGCCACAGTTCGCCTTCCACAAGCGTGACCGGGCACTGCTCGACATCCCAGTGCCAAGGGTACGTTGAAGATATTGACAGCCTTACTTCATTGCATGAGGCAATTGACGCCAACCAAAATCGAAGTAAGTTCATAATCAGCGCATTGCAGGATCACAGTGATTTCATAATTTGCACATTGGCAATGTTTGTTGCAAAATTTACGTGCCGAAACTGCACCATGATTATTTATGAGGCTTGGAGGAGGTGGAGTCTCTGGATTACTCTCGGCCACAAGATTCTTTATCAAGCACCTAAATCTAAGTGCACAAACATTATTGCATCTCATTTAAACACAGCTGCCATGGCTTAGAATCGAACGTGCACCCTCACTCTTGGCAGCGCAATCGCATAGCCACCAGTCCGCCACAGCGGGTTTTGTCACGTTTGGCATAGAAAAACATGGAGGCTTGATGACCTTTCAAAGTATGTGCACTTTTCAATAACTAGATCCTAGAATCTTGAGGCGATTACATACTAATATTTGTAAGGTATTCATTTTCTCTAAGAAGGCAGTGTAGTTATACATAAAACGTGCATGTAGCAATTGATTGTTTGATTCATTTTTCTGATCTTCTCGCCACAAATTGGGTCTCGGACTTATCACCTGGTTAATTGCGATTTAAAAAACACGCAGACCTCGGCACTCGAGATCTGGAACCATGGCGTAGGGGTGTTGTTTGAATTGACCATAACAGCCGGTGTAGTTGCTAAGGTATCTCAATGCAAAGCTCGATGGTACGCCTTCGATACTTACAGGGGGCGCTTTCTTATGTGAGTGGAATGAAAGGACACTGGTTAGCTACCTTTATGTGCTCGTTAGAGATTAGGCCCCATATTCACAAAAATGTGTAATAGGAACAACCTTTGTAAGAGAATATTTTAGCCTATCATCATGCAGGACATATTGTTAGCGAAGCTGGTTCGTCCATGGGAAAGCGCACATACGAACTAGAAGTTTCATGAATTAGAGAATTTAGCACACAAGACCAACAAAAACCATGGAGCATCTTTTAGTAGACAATCTCACTACTTCACAATACTAGCGCATCATTTTCATTTGATTAGTGAAGCAGTGCTGAACATCAGTGCCTTGTACTCGCATACACCTCGTACTCGTGGACTAGTTCGCGCACATTATGCTTCTGCCACTGTCTGGATGACTACAAATATTTGGTTAATAGGTATTAAAAGCGATAATCATGTGGGGGGGGGGGGGGGCGCTGCAGCTAGCTTGTCAACAAAATATCGACACGTAGGGGGGTAAATCAAGCAGAAACTGAACTTTGACTATCAGTCACAATGTCTGTTGCGCGTGCTATCGTGGCAGGCATCAGTGTACAGCTCGTATACCAACCTACGTGCTGGGCTAGCAATGCGAAGAAACTCCGTGAAATATGCTTAAGTCCCTGGATCGACCATATTTTGTTACTCTAGGGTTCTGTAGAGTTACGCAAGACTGGATCTAAAAGAGTTAGCTGCCGGCTTTACTTAAAACAACATTACTATTTGTTGCATGCTATTGTCCCTGCAGCAAAACTGGGATATATTTGTTAACTGCATATCAATATGCTCACGAATGCCTGTTAAGAAAACATGATGCCACAGTATCCACGTTCTTGCACACGTGTTTACAGTATATAAATAACTATCAAACCATTTTTATTCCTTTTTTACGGAAAGTTTTGTTGAATCGCTGCTGAAGCCGAGACTATGTCTTGTTTAAAAATAGATTGATTGATTGATATGTGGAGTTTAATGTTGGAAAACCACCATATGATTACGAGAGACGCCGGGCTCCGGAAATTTTGACCACCTGGGGTTCTTTAACGTGCACCCAAATCTGAGCACAATGGACTACAGCATTTTCGCCTCCATCGAAAATGTAGCCACTGCAGCCGAGATCCGATCCCGCGACTTGCGGGTCAGCAGACGACTACCTTAGCTACTTGACCACTGTGGCAGGGCTTGTTTCAAAATGACTGTAGCTGTAAGCCCTACAGATGATTTAAAAGTGGAACAGCGTGCCAAGATGGGACGAAGAAACAAAAAAAGCATACATGCACAGTGTTGACTGACAAATCAGTTTACTGTCATTAGAGAGTTAATAGAGAAGAAAAAATATATATGGCATCACAGCACCAGCAAAGCGAAACACCCCCAGTGTCGGGTTCTTCACGATACACCTGCATTCAGCCCTTGAGGAAAGAGATTTGTTTTTGTGAAAGGGCTATGGAGGAAGAGCGGACACAATTCTTGATTTATTTTGTGAATTTCAAAGGCTTTCCGAAGATCTCATCTGAGCCTGTCCGCATACTGGCTTATCACTCTGAACTATTCGAATGAAGGTCTGAATGTGCAGTCTTTCAGCATGGATAACTAGGGTGCTCCCGGTATAGAATTTCGGACATCGCACGCATCGAAGTTGAAATTGGGGTCGCATGTGGCCTTGTGTGTGTGTGTGTGTTGGTGCATTGTTCTCAACTCAGTGTGTATTAACTGGTCTACCAGCAATCAGTGTTACAGATGATGATGAGACTGTAGTTTATAAAAGAAGAGAAACACTAAGTCATGCTGAGCTTCTTGTGTTTAGAGCTCGTAGATAAGTGAACACCAAGAAGCTTCACCAGCTAGACTGGCCAAGTGGTAGTAAATCAAGCAATGTTCACATTGACCTGATGCAGGCTAGTGGGCTGCAGTACCCGTTACCACCGAATCTTCACCTGCTGACATTAGAACCTGTCGGAGGGAACCGTGCAATCATCCGCCTAGAACACCTCTACCCCGGAGTCAAAGACAACCAGCTCAACAAACCTGCTTCAGTGTCCCTTAGGGTGAGGAGCTCCATGCCAGTTTTCCTAGAAAGTGGGTTTTTAGATGCAAAGAAGCTCTTTGACTAGCCTGTGTAATGCTCTCCCTCTGTCCGCACTGCACTCGCCTGGCCACAGGTGTCGGGGTGTTGCCAAGTAGGTCACGCCTTCTCTCGCAGTGCACATGTGTTGGCTTCATTCTTTCCCTAGCCTGTTTCCACTCACCGAGTGTCATCTCTCTTGCTTAACCCTCTTCATCGCTTGCAAGGTTAGAGTGCACATTGTGCAAACAGTCGTTCTCCTTTAGGAATCCTCTATTCTACAAAATGCTGTGTACGACAGGTGCATGGTGCAACAGCTGCATACTTCACTGGGGGCGCCACGGTAGTTCTGTGGTATAAAATCATGAAATGCACGCTCCTCCATCTCTCCTGCGCAATGCCGTGAAAAGCGCCAGCATTGACGCCGCCGCCAGTGTCAGCGTTAGCGCCTGCACCAGCTCTCAATAAAGTACACCATCTCACACTCAAGTGAACTATCTCCCTGCTGCTTTGCATCCAGACATGGTTCTCTTTAGTGAAAGATGGGTGGGAGATGGTTTTATTTTTTACTCAGCGCACTCGGGCCGTTTCATTTTCCACCTTTAAATTGTGACTGCACTCAAAAGCGTGGTGCTTATAGTGCAGAGGTAATTAGCCCAACATATTATGCTCATATTTTTGGATTGTTATTTCTCACATGAGAGTCACAAAATAAGTGTATTATTATATTGATAGATGAAAAACCAACCATTAAGGGTCCATTTAAGTATAGTGTATTGATCAAATAGGGAAAGATACGGCAGACATATTAATCGGTTGTATAGGGGATCAAGGGCTTTCCGTATTCACCCCCTCCTCTTTTGACTATTTGCATGCGTATACATATATGCATGTGCTCATACAAACGCACATACTCAGATGCCTGTAAATGTGTGTGTAAGGGGAAGAGGGCAAACCCCTATCCCCTTCATCTCCAGAAACAAAATATATGCTGCTGCAACCAACTAGGCAGCATGTTTTCGAGCGCCGCAATGCATCCAATGAGTGAGTCACGGCTCTCCCACTTCCTGTGCTTTCTCACACCGGGGCCCGAAAAGCATTCAATGTTCTTTTGCGCTGCATTCACACTGTTCGAGCAATGTACCAACTCTCGATCCTCTGAGCAGAATTTTTTACGTGTTTTGCTAAGTGAATGCAATCGCAACTTAACTGTCCTTCGCTCTAAGCGCCTGTTATGTGTGGGTTTATTCTTTGCAGAACATGTTGGTCCCATACACCGTGACGGCCGCTGAGGAAACCGTGCTGTCAGCGCACGAGTACTTGCGCAACACGACCAGGTTCCACTTCGAGACGAGAGACTCTGTCACGGCGTCGTCTAGCTCAACCCTGCTGCTCCGTCTGGCGGCGCATCAGAACGCAGTTGTTGACACCGGCGCCTCCGCAATGACGTCGTCGCCCATCGACGACCGGCTCTTCACAGTGACGGTGAATCCGGGGGAAATCAGGACGTTCCTGGTGACACTAGAACCCAAAGCTTTGGGCTAACTGACTGGCTACTCTCCATCTATACTCTGAGAAAATTGGACACGACGCGATTTTTTATTCTTTCGGAATGATATAGACGCTGCTGGTATCAGCTTCACATCTATAATGTAGTGCATCGTCGAATCGCCCGCCCAGGCAGTCATGTCGGCAGGATAGATTTACACAGCGGCAACGTATGCGGTCCAGCTCGTGGGCTGACGTTCTCCTTACTGAAACTCGGTTCTTTTGGATAGGTACCGATGCACCAGGCACTGGTATGTTTCAGCTCAGTAGAACAGCATAGTTTTTTTTGTTTATTTCACTTTGGGGTAAATATTTCATGGCACACATTGGAAAAAAAAAAACATGCTGGCATTTACAGACCTGGCATAGTTCTTTACATGCTCAACTTTTGTGTTGTTCGGACGAGCTGACCACTGAACAACATCAGGAATGCATGAAATGTCTGTCCTTTTCAATATTCCGCTTACTAGTTGCGCATAGTCAAGTGAGAAATGATAGGAATCAGTGTAAAATACCTACACAGCATCACATGCTTATGAAATTAGCTTGCTGTCTTATTCGGCAAAATCATGTTTCGTGCTAGTTTTGTCTTATCGGAAATTCCTTTGTGACATACCAGCTTGCTCTGTGAGCTTGTTAAACTGTATTGTTGAAATCGCCGTGGTTCTTCCACAACGATCATGGATGAACACACCTCTGACCAGGCAGACTAATCAAAGCAAGTGAATGTCTCATTCTGACAACTCCTAACATTGCTGTCATTAAGGGCTAATTATTTAAATTATTGTTACTTGCACGTAATACTCCCGCGTGGCGATGTTGTAGTGAAAATGACATATTTGCATTTATAGACTTGATTTCAATGATTCGCACTTATATTATACCTGACAGCGCACACAATATTACGCGTGTCCTAGAGGTTCCTTACTCAATTCTGCTTTCATTATTTCCTTGAATGAATTGAGCATGTGTAACAGCGTTAGCCGTCAGCATGTCTGGTAGCTGTTGCCACTGGAGGGAGCGCTGGTTGTTCCAAGCATTAACGTATTGTGGCTAAGACTGCCCCAAAGTTGAGAGGCGCTTAGTTTAGTGCCTGAGGTTGCAAAACATCGCCTCACACATCTAGTCTACTGTGATAAGCGGGACTTTTCTTATAACTTTTATCTAAGGCCCATGAGCTGAGGCATGACGTCTGCAAGCCACTACAGTTCGCTCTCACCTTTTTTGGGACATCGTCGTAACCTCACAAAAGGCGATCGCTATCTGAAAATTGACTGTGACGTTTAATGAAAAAGCAAGAGACATCACAGGCTTTCTCAGCGCTTGCAATTCAGCCGCATGTTCAGTAAGAACTGAAATCTGGTGTAACCTTCCGCATCTTGAACAAAGCAATGCTGCTGTGAACTTGAGAGAGGGCAGCCTTTTTTTATATCTTACTAGAAGAAAGACATTTTAACAGCAAGGTAAAACTGTCGAGGAAAACGTAAAAAAGGTTGAATCGCTAGGCTCTACAACACAGGGCTCAAAGTTTAAGAGTGGGTGCATCTGGAACCTACGCAAATATTTCGCTCCTCATCGACCACTGCTTGCCAAAGAGAGGACTTCGGGCACAGGGAATGGAGAATACTCATTCTTAACATGGGCAGACAGCCTTTCTTGCGTCTTTCTAGCGCACATGCAGCTGCTGTCTGCAGGTATCGGTGATGCTCAGCGTGCAAGAGGGGATGACGTATCATTCGTATCAAGCCTTGCATTGATCGGCTGAGTAATTTCCGTATGGCACACTTAGGCCTCCACATTTTGATAAGGTCCAAGTTTTACGTCCCTGTCCTTGCAACAATAAATAGCTTCTTCAGCCTGGCCCAAAGGTCTCAGGTCGCCTTGTGAGTGATTACGACGGTGCTTCCTGGCTTTTGGATCACACAGATCCACATTCCTGGCGTCGTTAACGCACAGTTCATTCTTCGCAATGACCTTGGAGATGTCACCGCTAGTAGCATCGTGAACTTCACTGTGAGGCCATTTCTATGTATTACGACGCAACTACATCAAGCGGACACTTTACGGCACCATGCATTCCACAGACAAGTCTGTTGGTTTGTCAAACGGCGGGCTGTATTCCTTTTTCTCATTAACTGAATGCAGATGTGTTAAAGCTCTTTCAATAATTCACGCTACATATCCAGTTCAAAGTGAAGGGCTCAGTTCTGGCATGGCTTGATGAGCGGGCGAACGTGATGAAAACTGTAAAAGAAATCGGCCACTTCCTCCCTGTGTCGGTTTTTTGATGATTGTAGGCAGAAAGATACGTTAGAATTCTAAAATGTAGTAGAACATTCTTCAGCAAGTGCACTATAGCGCCTGTAATCTCTGGAGCGTTGCGAATAACGGTATAGAGTTTTAATAGAATAGCGTACCTCTGTTATTGCTATATTGAATGAATATTGAGAAGTTGCTAATTGCATTTGCGCACTGCGAGCTCGAAGAATGCTACCTGGGTGTTTTTTTCTTCTCTGCTTCCCGACCATCTGGCAGCCATGCCACTCTTCGGAAATAATGGTGATGCGAATCTTGCATAACCCGGAAACCTGGAGACATTTTCGCTTCTGCATTTGTATTACTGCAGCAAGAAAAGTAAATGTGCAAACACCTGTGTAGCTATGCATGGCTAAGACGAGCGTGCGCCGCATGTGCAGGCTCACACAGCCCACCGAAAGCTTTCTCAATCTCCTGTTTTGTTTCTGTAGGTGCGCAGGCTGAAACCTGTCTGTGCAGTTGTAATTTTTTGCCTCCATGGGCGCACGCTTGATAAGTTGTTACACCGTTACCACCTTGCCACCGTGTGGCACGAAAGCTGTGATTTTTGTTATTGCCTTTAGCGTTTTACACTCTCCAACTGCCCCCCCCCCCCCTCCTTTTTTTAAATCTCAAGAGCTTTGGGACTCACTGAGTGTTGCGTTGACAACTCTGGGGTAACTCAATTCTTCTCTTGTCTTTATTTTTTTTTAACAGGCTGTGTGGGAATTCCCCGTCAAGCGATGGCACTGTCCCCTTGCAGGATATTCAGCAAGAATATGTCATGCGCAGGTTCATCTGTGAACTAGAAAAACTAGTTATCTGCATGTGATTTTTTTTGTAAACCACAAAGCTTAGACAGGAAAACTAAACGCATCTTTTTTTTTTCTCTCAAGTTGTGCTTCACAGACAGAATTCCACGAATTCTGTGCAGATGTATTAGGTGCTTCTATTTACTTTTGAGCATGACAACCACTGAAAGATCACTTACGATAAAGTTTATCATTGCTGCGACAGTGACTCGCAACAGCCTGGAATTCCCTCAAGGCGCTGCAGGTGACGGAGCCTTGCTCGATGTGAAGCACATTGCTTCGTAAGAAGAGGAATCGTATAAAGTGGACAGTCGGTGTAGAAGCGGTGGGAGATACACATAGCTGTATGATAAATATATAAATGCATACATATATATGTATATATATATTTATATATATACATATATAAATATATATATATATATATATATATATATATACATATATATATATATATATATATATATATATATATATATATATATATATATATATTTATATATGTATATATATATATATAGAACTAAAGAGCTAATATATTCTCTGTTTAACTCGTCACTATCTATTAATACCTGTAAATAAGTGCATAAGTTCAAGGAACTACCCTTTCTGCGGATCCTTGTATTAACAGCTCACGCACTAATTATCTCACACAAGCACATTCGTTAACTTGCTGTTGTGCACAAAGTACCCTAGCGTAATATAAACTGCTTTCAAACAAGAAATAGAAAGGAGTGAAAATCTTAGATTCGATCACTTTCTTGCTTGCGCTTTCTCCAACACTGCTTGCACAGCTGAACATGCATGTTATCTCGGTGTGTGTGCATATAATTGCCGATATTTGTTTTTTTGCTTGAAACATCGTCTTGTGCAGATGACATCAGTATGACTGCTCTTTGTGGTAGCCATATGCGTGGTATTGGGGTAAACAAAAAAACTTGAAATAGCTACGTAGTATTGTGCCGAAATGAGAAAGAAAGAATCCATGCGATCTCGGTTCTTCCATGGAATGTTACTGCTCGAATAGTTCAGTGTGTTCAGCATCTCCTGGCTGACATCTTGTCGAGCCGTTGTTCCGCCAATCATTCTTCAGGCCTCGTGAAATGATTTTGAAAATTGGCAATTGGCTCGTGCAGTGAACGCGCCATCGAAGGAGAAGAAACGGATAAAGGCAATCTGTTGTTCCGCGTCGAGCACTGCGCGTTGCTTCATGCATTCTGGTGTGGCTAGCTGCCAATTCGCCAAACCATCACGACTATTTGTGAACACCAAGTGAATGCACTGCACGTTGCTTCATGCATTCTGGTGTGGCTAGCTGCCGATTTGCCAAACCATCACGACTATTTGTGAACACCAAGTAGTGAAGTAATGAGTGCAGTTCTAGTATCAGGCCAATAAAGTGACCCCAATTAGTGTCGGCTAACATGTCGGTGGACTTACTTTGTTGTTGTTGCAGGTAGTTATTTAACAAGACACTGTAATATTCGTACCACCGCTACTTTGCTCACCTGGTGCTGGGTGAGCATGTTTATAATTGCTAAGGGACTCACGTAGCGACGGTGACAAAACGTGGCAGAATATTATAACATCTAACCAGACACCGCAAACCTGTATTGGGACGCACATGTAGGATGTGCTTTTGTTTAATCTTACTTTGTTTTGTGCATTTGGGCTTCGTCAGAGCGTGCGAACGTATGTCAATCTCAATTTTCGTATTCTTATACTCTGGCTTGTAGAAGCAGGCAAGACGTTATTTGGGTCCCAGGTTTTGCTGATGGCTTTTTTATTATTATTATTTGAATGCAGCGATGGTATACACGTGCAAGGAGTGTGTAGTTTTCTTGGATTTCTTGTAGTTACAGTGTCGTTTTTGTAGGCGAATGTTAACATACGCGTGAAACAAAACAGCAAAATCTATAATGCCCATTGTTGATTTCTGAAGGGCTCCACTGCTACGCTGTGTCAAAAGAGACTACTGGGTGGTGTCCAATGCTCCACGACAGAAGGTGTTTCTGGATTCTACCGCATGCAGCGACCAGAAAAAAGGAGACCTGTAAGGTTGGCGTACTCTTATCAAGGGGGTGTTGTTGCTGAGGTGCAGATTTGGGCATCACCTATAATGCTCGACGTCTCACACTACTTGAATCAGCCTGAGAATATTCGGCTTCTCCTGCGAAATTCGTTTACAAATCCGCTTTATAGCTTGTGAAGTATTATTTCAATATTTCATGAACAGTTTAGTAGATGCATCATCTGAACACTCTCTTAATTTTAGTAGCAATTTAAATGCATGCATTAGAAAGGTGCTAGGTCGAGCTAGATTGAAATATAATGGCTTATGCGGCAACTAATTTGCTACCTTTAACAAGAGCAGATCTTTTGCAAGTGTGAAAATTGTGTCTTGTAGGTTCTTGCATGACGTCAACGTTAGCTCTATTGCAGAGAACTGCATGTATATAAAGAGGTCATGTGGAGATTAGGTTATCTGTTTTGGCGCGGGTGGTACATGTTCAGGAGGAGCATTTAAACAGCAATTCTTTATGCAATGAAGCAATATACTGGCACCCTGACGACAACAATAAGATTTGGAAACGGAAATATGATTTTTTTTTATGCTATGAAAGAGCGCAAGATAAAAAGGCAGGGGTGCGGCTAACAAAGCCCCTCATCGCAACGTTACTATTATAGGAAATTTGTGGTTGTAGCTGCTAAGTTGTTTATAACTGAAGAAATTAATATTTTGATGCTTTTAAAAAATATTTAAAAGGTGTACTTTTTTTTCTTCTGTTCAGAATTTGTTTGCACCGAAAAATCCCGTATTCAGGAAACAATTGTCAAGAAAACCTCTATCACAGACTTATTTCAGCAGATCTGCACACCGTGAACATAATATTGTCATGAAACTTTACCAATGATGCGCAATGTGGTGCTTGCAAAACTGCAGATTTGAAAATCATGTACGATGTTAATCGCATCGTACGCAGGTTAATTCGTTGGTAGGTATAAAATATGAAGATTACAGGGGCTTCACGATCATGTTCATTCGGCTATCGGTTGTCACTTGAGAGGTCGAGCATATATGTGTCACCAAATGACAAGTAACAGCAGTGCTGTGTGATAGTTTTACTGTTGGAAATGGCAACTGTATACCTGCATATATAGTTAGAGATGTGGATATGTGTATGCGAATATATCTATGTCATCATAATCCTGTCAATGACTGTTAGTGATTGCATATTCAAACTCTATTTATTGCAGCTTCTCGGGTACTCATAGGTGCTTTTGTGCTACCTTTAGTAGCGACCACTTTTTGGCTGCAGCTCCTATTGTAGAGTACGATGTTACGCGGTTGTTCTGCGCATTGTTGTGTCTGACCTGTTATGCGCACAGTGACAAAACACTTCAGAAGTTGATGTTATGCCTGTTGGCAATGGCAAGAGCACCGGTGAGTGCTCACTTTATTATACTTTTTTTTCTTCTTCACACTCAGTCAATATCATAAATACGGGGCATGATAGCCGGTACTCACACAGAGCTTAGTTTGACCAACCTGACATGATTGTGTTTCTGATGTATATGTGACTTTCACCACTATATCTGTTCGTCGTATTATCGTAACGCTGAACTTCTTTTCGTGCTTGTACTACGGTTTCACCGTGTATGAGGTGAAATCCTCTAGCGCTCCCGTGTGGTGATTTCACGTGTATATATTTCCTGTGGGTCCTTTGGCTGCTGTTTTTGCAAGTGTTAGCAGTTGGTAGTGT